TGGCTTACGACAGTCGCTTCCCACAGACGGCGCCAACTGTTGATGCAAGATTTGACCGAGGCACGGAAGATGACCTCGGAGGTTGGCCTCAAGCACTTAAGTGGTTTTTCGGGGTACCTGCAAAGAGACGACCACTCCGACGCCCAAGTTAGTATTCAAGCCGAGCTCAATAGGTAAGCATCAGATAGGTTTTTCATACCTGTAGTCAAGGTCGAAGGGTGTATTTATAGTGGTTGGTGGGCATATATACGTCCCATCGGGGTACTTCCCTGCTTGGCGAGGGGCCCGACTAGGGACCGTTGGCCGTTGGCAGCGACCGATTCGATTCCTGCTCCAGTGTGAGCCATCGTACGGTTCCTCCACTTGTTCGTCGTCGAGGCCGACCTGACAAGTCGACTTTCCTGATGTTGTCATGCCCTCGGCTGCGTACAGACCCCTCAACACTATTATTTGATTGATATAAATTTTAATTTTGATGAGTGGTCTAAATTAATGAAATTATGAAAATTAAAACTTATCACAGTTAGTTCCAAATAAGTAGGGTCATTCGAAATCGATTTGGTGTAAAACCTATCATAAAAGATAAAGGCATTATCATAATTTTTGATGTAAATCTAAGCACAAGTTATCTGATACGCCACTAAAAATAAAATAAAACAATAAACAATTTTTCTTGTAATTTAAAAAAAAATTCTTTTAAATGAGATCCCGACCCAATTCAAACGTTTTTTTAGTATTAAATAAGAAGAGATTAATTCATTGATATACCTTTTATAGATTATTATTACATAAAAACTTCGATCTATAAAATTTACACTTTCTCATAAAATAACCGTTTAAGATGGTTCTCATAAACAATTTACCAATATATCATTCTTTATTTATATCTAAATATTAATAAATTATTGAAATTAAAAATGGTTGATTTTGGAGGTTAGATTTCAAATCGTTTACGCCTATTTACACTTTTCAAAAATAAAAATATCCAAATAATCCTATCCAAATCTCCAAAATCCTTTTCGTCTCCTTTTCCACCTGTTTCTTCTTCCGCCCGTTTCTTCTTCTTCCTCAAACAACATTTTTTCCGGCCATTTACTTCATTCACTCACTGCTATCAAGATGTAGCATGCTGTCGCGTCAAGGTTCTTCATTCTCGTCGCCGGTCGTTTACTCCGTTTATCCCGTAGCAGACTGTTTACTCCGTTCTCGTCACCGACCGCTCGTCAAGCTTCTCGTCATTCTAACGTCGATGTGTGTTTCGTCTTCTTCTCACCATGATATATTTTCCGTACCCATGGTAAAGATAAAAATGGTCGGCAGTTGTTGGTCGGAGATGGGAGAGAGAGAAAAAGAAAGAGAGGGGAGAAAAGGGATGGAAAGCCACTAACGGTCAACTAACGGTCAAAGGACTATTTAGAACTATAATTCAAACTTTAAGGACCAAAAATGTCTATTTTGAAACTTAGGGACTAAATAGACACCTACACCAAACCCTAAGGACCAAAAGTGTTCGTTTTGAAACTTCAGGGACCAAATAGACACCTACCTTAGACCTCAAGGACCAAAAGTGTATTTTTCCCTTATATTTATCATCTTATAATCAAGCATGTGCTAGTGCGTCTAAATTGATAGAGTAGGTTTTTTTAGCTTTTGTTCGGTTTGATATAACACTATATATGGATATATTTTCAATTTGAAATCATGGTTAAATCTACCCATTAATTAATTTCGAATTTGAAATCATGATAATCTTTTTGTAATTAATATATGAATGAGTAAATTAAGAGATTATGGACATAATTGACTTGGAATTTGCATAAAAATATGTTCCAAGTTATTTAATTAAATCCAATACAATCCTGGAACTATGATATAGCAACCATTTTCTTGCACAAATTTTTAGCACAACCCTACATCCAAATAAATACGACTCTTATTCTAAAGCCTCTTAGCAACAAGCAAAGCATTGTCTTAATGATGAATTCAACTTAACCTGTGTTCCTCATTCCTGCTGCGATCCCATTGATTGTAATAAGTAATGCATCTCTGAGTTTTTTGTTGTCTGAATCACATCTCAGCCTCTTTAATACCTCCACTTGAAGCAGGTTCAGAGGATTCAGATAATGGAGTCTGCTCTCGATCAGCCTCCTCAAACTCCGATTGTTCTCGGATAGTTTCCCGTGCCTGCTAACTATCAGAACATATTTCTCAGTCTCTTCCAGTTTCTTCCTCAGTACAGATCCGAGTTCGCGCCGATTCTCGGAGACGAGGACTTCATCATAATGCTTTGCAATATGAGTATCAGCTTTGCCTAAAACCATCTCTATAAGGTCTAGGGTACTCTGGAAGAAAGGCCATTCTTGGTACATTGATTCCAAGTCTTGGGTGTGACCCTTTTCACATACACCTTTTAAACCTGCCCCAACCCCAAGCCAAGCTGGAAGAACAGATCTAGTTTGTGTCCAAGCGAAAACCCATGGTATGGCTCGAAGATGTCCGATCCCGACGGAGGTTTTTCTCCTTGTTGGGCGGCTTCCAATGTTAAGGAAGCCAAGCTCTGCCTGAGGAGTGGCCTCGTGGAAGTAAGCAAGGAATTCTGGATTTTCATATACCATGCTCCTGTAGTTCTCGCAGCTGATTTTCGAGATCTCCTCCATGAGATTACGCCATTTTGTTTCTCGAGGTGGAAGAGGTGGACGTAGGGTCGAAAGGAGTACAGCCGTTGTGTATATTTCTAGCTGTCTAACAGCAGTTTGAGGCAATCCAAACTTGGCCTGCACCATTTCCCCTTGCTCGGTTGATCGTAGAGTACCCTGCCAGATGTATTTCATTATATTGATTCAATATGTCAATGATGCCTTGTAATCTACACCAAAATTTTGCAGATTAAAGTCCCACACTAGAAAATATATTGTGAAAGGACGTGATTTTTCTTTTTTTGACAATTGAGTCGGAGCTTTGCTCCCGTATACCCAGGAGCACCCGTGCTCGCCCTAAGACTCTGACTCGGGAGACATCAAAGATTTTTTATATTAAGCTCATCGGAAGGTTCAAACTTGAGATATCTAAACACTAAGACAGTATAATCAAGAAACCTCAAACCCTTGCCAACTGAGCTGCCTTAGGCTCACTGAAAGGATGTGTTTTAAAGATCAGGATTAATGAGAGACGCGAAATGGATTTTGTCCCCACCCATATTGCATTGCATTCTATACAAAGGTCAGAATAACTTCTTAGGTTACTTCAAAGGAAATAAAGTCAGTATTCTTAATCTGTTAACAGTCTAATAAATCATATAACATGGCAAATTCAGATTTGATTATTTTTCAACTTACCATTACCGAACCTGGAGGCTGGGATTGAATGGCCAGATATGTAGGTCCACCCCCACGGCCAATGCTCCCTCCACGCCCATGAAACAGGGTAATTTTGATACCATACTCGTTGCATGCAGCCACAACATCTTCTTGAGCTTTGTAAAGTTCCCATGCAGCAGTGAAGCGCCCAGCATCTTTGCCAGAATCAGAATAACCCACCATCACCTGTCCAAATAAACTTTTTATTCACTGAAACAGTGACAACTAGAAGTAGATCATTCGAATGTTTTCTATATATACCTCTTGGAGCCCATTATGGTTCTTTATGATGTGTTCTCGATACCAATCAATAGATAATAGTTTCCTTATCGATGATCCTGCTTTCCTCAAGTCGTCCACGGTTTCAAACAGAGGAACCACACGCAACCTATTTCAGGAAGTATTTTAGCCCATCTATAATCCTTGCTACATCTAAGCTAGCTCTCTACTCTACTTTAAGTATTCATTTTCCGAGAAAAGTTAAATGAAGCGTGTGAATGTGGTTGGTTAGTTGGCAAATTTTAGAAAGCCAGAGAAAATCTCCTTCAGTTGGTAAAGAAAAATATAATATGAAACTCTTTCTAGCTGTTGCAAAAAACATGTCGAATAATCATACACAGTATCCCTACTCTTCATGAATTTCCTATGACATGGAAGCCAAATGTTTGCACTTATTTGATCATGGAATATGTTTTATTTGAGAAATGATATTATAGAACACAGCTTCGAATGATAATAATGTGCAAAATATCACTTTACGGATTCATAGATGAGGATTTTGCAGAGGTATCCCCACAAATATTTAGCCATAAGACTTACGTTCCACCAGGACATGGCCGTCCTAGCTCTCCACTAACAGCAAGTCGTGCATCTTTCTGCAGAAGTTCCACTGCGAGTACGTCACTTGCCTGCAGTCACCAAGTACAACAGTATTTCATGAAATTAAAAAGTATCTATTTCTTTTATATGGAAGTATTGGCATTTTTACTGGATTCAATAAAAAATGATCATATTGACAGTTAATCATTACATTGGAGGCCATAGAGATCACGTAGGCACCAAGTGATTCACTCCCCAGCTCAGCAGCAACACGGAAGGTGTTCAAAACCTCTTTAACATCAGAAGCAACCTGAAAGGGCAAAATTAACCCCTAAAATAAGTTCCTACAGTTTAAACTTTAAAGGAAACAAATGCTAGACAATCCATTACTTTGAAGATAAGCACAAGCTTTTGTCTTTGAAGCTTCTGGTATTATCACTATTAATTAGGAAACTTTGTAATCGTAAATACATGCATGTCAATTTGAGATGACATGGCATACGTGAATGTTAACTGCAAAATCAAAACTTTTTTTTATTCAAACAGCAGAACTTATGGAAACTAGAAAGTTTTGATCATCAATGAATTCAAGCCGTATTTCACATAAAAAGATTCTCGTCATTACAAAGAACTCTAATAGCCTTATGTTCAAGAAAATGCCTATTTCCTTCTCCCGGCTATGGCCAGGGACTCGGGGTGCACCCTTTTCTTTAATAAGGGCAAGTTTTAAATTAATAATTTTGAAGTGCTGCTTTGCTAGACTGTACAAACTTTAGGTTAGTGAAGTATATTTTCACTGCAAAGAAATTGGCCGCACCATAGCATAAGAACTTCTGAGTTCCCTATAATTCGGCAAAATTGAACTGGCATACCAGAATTACAAGCTGCGCATCAACCACACAACTTGAAGTCATCGAAAATATTGATTTCACATTCCAAAATTCAAAAGATGAAGCCAAGCCCATCACACGAGAATCAAATTTGAATACCAAGGACATCCATCCCATATCTACAAAGGTAACACTTTTTCTCTTTTTTGCGGAAACAAAGGTTACATTTTAAGGTGCTATTTGGGAAGTTGACTCATATATTGGTTTCGTGATCTCTTTTTTTATGAATGATTAATATTGCAATGATGATTTATAATATAAATTTATGAGATTGTTTAAATAAGAACAAGGTGAATTCTGCAAAATGAAGAATTTAGGAATACTTTTGCATAATAATTGGCACGTGAGATAATTAGAACGGAGGAAAACATAGAAAATAAGCTGAATTTCATTCAATATTTTTTCATCTTACTGCTGTGCGTATTGTCGTCCAACAGAATATCATAAATAGTTAAGGACTTCTATTTGTCTGAGTTACAAGTTGTGTTAATTTTTCACCTAAAAGTTTACCTCAATTGTTGGAGGAACCAGTGGTCGCTTCCCCTTTAGCTCTCTTGTTAGAAATTCCAACTTCCTTTCTTCATCCCAGTCACTAAATGTACCCATGTCCAGGTACTCTGTAATGGCGTCCAGAGTTTCCGCATGTCTACCAGATTCCTGGGTACAACAAAATCATATCCTCAATATTTGTTCCGAAGGAAACTTGGGAGTAAAAAGATATAGCCAGTTCATCATCTTTTCTGAAATGCTATTTTTGAGGAAACAATATTACCTAAAATAGGACATACCTGACGTAAATCCAGCTTCATTAATACCATACCAAATGTAGCAACTCTTCTAATCAGATCAACTAACCGACCATCAGCAAGCACCACAGATCCACATGATTGCTGCATGAGTTGATGTACATAAATTTATGTATAAAATTGCACTTAAAAAAGAGATGAAATAGAACTCTGGATTACCAGAGACTCATAGCATAGAAGCAGCGGCTCCAAGAGTTGATCTGCAGTCTCATAGTAATCTGAAGGATCTTGTTCACAAGGAAGATCCTCGAGAAGTAACTCCTGCCTTCTTCGTGTTTTCACAAGCTGTGCTCACAAAAGATCAAACAAAACATACAAATTTTTACTAAATGACAATAAAATAATGTACTTTTATATCTGATAACACCCTTTATACTCTTTTGTTACACAAATATCATATTGTTCAATATTTTAAATATGACGTGAGATGTTTGTTTTTATTTTGTATTTTGTCAATTTTGGAAAACTGAAAATAGACTGTTACATAATGTAACATATCACTTTATTATGATATTTTTGTAATTCCCTCTAGAACTAAAGTATGTTGCAGATTTCATTGTAAACTACACATGCTATTTTTTCTCTTTTTCTTCCTTTTTTTTTCCTTTTTTTAGTACAACATATGGGGTGGAGATTCGAACTCTCAACCTCATGGTTGGATACATGTGTCTTAACCCACTGAGTTATGCTCTGGTTGGCGTCTCCACGTGCTAATAACCAATATTGAAAAGCTTTTTGAAATAATGTGACACAAAAAATGAGCATTTCCCAAGCAGCATTCCTCCTATTTTTTATCACATCTTTAGTCGGTACAACATTTTTTTTTCTCCCATCTAAAGGAGAAAGCGCCTTTGGTAGCATCCATTAATGCCTGATAGATGTTCATCCTACCATACAATAGAAACTAGAAAAATAAGGGCAAGAAAGAATAAGAATGGAGATACATCTTTCTCCACATCCATTAGAATAATTCTTGGATATAACTCAATTTTTCTTTTTATAAGTCTAGATATTCGGATCAATTTATACACACCTCAGTTAAGTAAATTGAAATATTAAATAATGCATTCAAAATCTAAGTATCTTTGCAAGATCTGTGATTAATTATCAAATATATTGATGTATGTATTTTAAGCCATTAAATAGAAAACTTCAGGTGCTAATTACAAAAAAAATTATATATATATATATATATAGAGAGAGAGAGAGATGTTAATTCCAATTCCAAAAGTTTCCTTAAAAAAAAACGAGAAACCGAACTTTTCATTGAGAAAATGAGAAAAGAACGTAGGTACAAGCGCAAACAAAAACACCAGCCCGGCAATAGGAGGCCCACAGTACAAAACAACTTTAAAACCGACCCCATAGATAAGTACAAAATGCTCATGCTCCCAAACATACTCCCCAGCTCTCTCCACCCCTAAGATTCTATTATTTCTCACAGTCCAAATCTTCCACAAAATAGCAAAGAAGCAAGTTTGCCACAAAAATCTTCCCTTCCCTTGAAACGGAGGGAACAAACGCACCTCTTACAGCATAGCCCCACAATCCCTATAGCAAACCTAAGGCACCCCAAAATGCTTAAAGAAACGACTCCAAATATTAATGGGAAACAATATAAAGCCACAAAATATGATCTAGATCCCCTAATACCCTCTTGCAAAGCACACACCACTGTGGCCCCAAATAGATAAAAGAGCACCTTTGAATATGTTCCAAGGTGTCTACTTTTTCATGTAATACCTACCCACACAAAAAAGAAAAAATATATATATATACATATCTTTTTGGAATTTTCACCTTCCAAAGCAAGGCAATAAATGGGGCAAATGGGGGAAGAGAGGGAGAACTCAACATATGGAAGAAAGAACTACAGGAGAACCCCTTAGATGGGCTAGGGGACCAAACCCAAGAATCCTTCCTTTCCGACTAGAAGGAACGTCTCTAAGCAAAAGGGAGCAACACATAAACTTCCAAAGACTCCCTATCCATCAAGAGCCAACTTGAGGCCCAAGGAAATAAGCGATCCAATCCCCCTTAACTTCAACATAGAATGCAACCTCATGTCAGATAAGCTATATAGACCAGGGATTAAAGAACAAAGAGATTTATCACCCACCCAATGATCCTCAAGTTCCAAATGCCAAAGCCCCGCT